GCAGCACTACTGCTATGGACCGCAAGCACCTGCAGAGCGTGGTAAAGACTGTGGAGAAGATCACCAGGATTCTTGTGTATTTTTTCTTCTACTATACTGCTGCATCTACGCTGCTTAAAGTGCCTTAGATTTTGTGTTATTTATTTATCTACTTTATATTTCATTTGTATTTTCTGGCATTCATGTGGACGGCAAAGTAAGAATTTCATTGTACAGGGAAACACGTTTCCTAACTGTGCATATGACAAAATAAACACTTTGAAGTAACGTGTCCAGTACTTTGGCTTATGACTGGCTTTAGTGACCAGAGAGACTTAGTTAATGATGTGATACCTCAAAAAAAATATCTGTTGTGCATTAGCGTAATAAACAAGTGATGCATCAACCAACTGTGAATGGACTGATTATATCTGTTCTTCTCCTGTTCTAATTTAAAGTCATTTGTTTTGCTGTTTTAAAGTCTAATTTAACATCTGTCTGAAGGACAACACAAAGGTTTACACTGGTGTTGCTTAGCGAACTTTGTCTCTGTAAAATACAAATAAATACAACTCTGTGAAATACTGTAGTATTAGTACCACACCACCACCATCATCATACCAGATTTGCTGATGTACTCCTCAAAATCAAAGTCACTGCTTCCTGTGTTGTTGTCTTGGTAACTGATGGCATGGCTGATGTTAGTCAGATTGCTAGGCGATGGCTGTGGAATCAGGACACATTTTTGGTTCAGGGTTGCCATGAACAACACCAGACCAATCAGAGCCAAGACACTGAGGCCGAACACCATCAGGACGGTGACATGAATAAACCTCTTCACTGATTGGACAAGAGCTCTGGCAGTCATCTTCATACCTGAGAGAGGGGGTGGGGTTAAAAAACAAACACATGGACTATTTCTCACCCCACCCCCACCCACACACAGACACACTGCCCCTAACTGACCCACCTTAACCCTTTAATAATGATGATGATAAAACCACACAGCCACTGACCTGGGCAGACCGAGATGAGCTTCAGCCCCCTGCACATCGTGCTAAGAACAGAAACTTTCCCCATATGCTCAAACATCATGAGAAATCTGAAACACATCGCACATCATCATCTCCAACAGCAGCAGTTTGAAGTGACAGATAACATTTCTTCTTGTAAAGTTATTCAAACAACTGCAAAGAGACAAAATAACCACAAAGGACAAAAACAATTACAGGGAAATACAAAATGGCCACAGAGTAAATCTGTTTCCATCCACGGACTGAGACTGTCAGTGTCTGATATATTTATCTGTCTTGAGATTTACAAACCACAGGTCTGATCTCATCACCTGATCATCTGTAGATGCTGATTAGAGTGTGTATGAACCTCCTTTCCACCTCTGCTATGTTTGTTTTTTTCTGTTCTAAAACTGCTTGAGCACAACATCTAAGAGGAATAAATTTATCAGAGGTAAGTTATTACGCTGTGCTGACGACCACGACGTCCAGCCAGTTCCAGGGATCTCTGAGGAAAGTGAAGCGTCTCATGCAGAAGCCTCTGGACAAGACCTTTATGATGATCTCAAACGTGTAGATGGACATAAACGTATATCTGTTCAAACACCGAAAAACAAGACAAATAACTGCAGTTTCAAATATGACACAGTAATAAGAAAACTAAGAGTCCTCATCTGTACAGTTTCATGACAAACTCTGCAGATCAAATATTTTCACTCAAGACTGAATGTTTAATGAGTTTTTTTTCCTGGGCTGATCCAAACACTAACAATATAGTCCTGTTAGCACCCCTTAAAGATAGTTAGCTGACTGAAGAGGAGACATGATTATCAAGTCAAGATATTAACAAAAACTAAATGTACTAAAACTAATCATTTAAATTTGCTTAATCCAGCCTTGCACTGTTTCCTACTTATCAAGGTTACATGAACGAATTGAGGTCATTGGGAATTGTTGTTATATGCTAAGTACTGAAAAAATGTCATATCACAATAAATAATTGTAGGTGTAGTTTTCAAACAAAGACAAAAGATGAAACAAATAGCAGGTTGGGAAGAACTTGAGTTCACAGCATGAACAGCACAGAGGAGAACGTGAACACAAACAATCCAGCAGAGAAGTAAAGAAAGATGACTGGTGTGTTCACTGTGAGCAAATGAGGGATCTGGAAACAGGTGCGGGGTGGGTCTGCGATAGGAAATGGATAACAGGTGTGCATGTGATGGATGTCAGGTGACTGAGATGAAGGACTTCTAGTGGATGGTTGAGGAGTAACAGTGAGAAAAGCATAGGAAACCAGGGCTGGGGGGCAGACTGGGCAAAATCAATAGAACTGGGATAGGTATCGTGATACTTTGGGCTTAGGTTTGGTCATGAAATATAAAAATGGGGGCCTGGTATGGATCCCTGTGGGACACCTTTATCAACCAACTGTAGATTTGACATAACCATCACCACCAACAGTCTGATCTTATGTGAAACATTACAAAGCTACCTGAACAAGATTATATCATCAGCAACATCAGAGGCAGACAAACATACATCATGGTGATGATTTACAGTTCTTACAACCAGCAGTGGAGCTAAAAACGTACCAGAGTAAAGAAATCCTCTACATGTACTTGTTTCCGAAGCGTTCAACCACATCTTGTGGACTTCCTCAGCACATGACAGTATTTATTCAGCTTGTGGGGGTAATGAACGCTTACTTCAGCCTCTAGGGGTCGCTAACAGGACTCCTTCTGAATATCATTTCCTATTGAGATCCACACAAAGCATTGACTGTTTCACGTCCTGAGGACAGAAAATTAACTCGAATGTGGTCTGCTGCTTCTCAGAGATGGCAGCTTCATGAACGTCTGACACTGAGGACAGACTCATTCTTTGTTTCCGAGTCCTGAATTTATAGCTCAGAGTTTAAATTCCAATGATATTCTGTCACCACAGTTGGACATCTACACTTCTCATTTTTCTTCTTCAGTTTCTGGTTCTGTTGTAAAATCTCTGAGTGTGTGTGTGTGTTAACTCACTCTGCAGTCGCGCTCCATGGTGGAGGATAACGCATCGTCATTAAAAAACAGTTGATCAGAAGCGTTAGCATGATGAACAACCTGAACAAAGTTTTGGTTTTAAGGAAGAAGAAACATCAAATGATCACTGACTTTATCAATAACCTGCCAACACACACTGTTTCCCAGTTCATACCACAAATGAATTCTAATTAGGTTTACGGTCTGTTGTGTGTTCACATTACAAAAGTCACACAAAGCAGTAAATTCACACAGACCAAAAAGAGCCACAACACCACAACAAAGACACACAAAAACACCACAGACTCAAAACAACATAAACACAATATCAAAAAGACACTAAACTACCAGAGAGAAACACAATACCACCACAAACTGACAAAAAACCACAACAGAGAAACTCAAAGCCACAGCACAGAGACAAAAAACAGCTACACTAAGTCTCAAAACTACCACAAAGAGAAGAAAACTGCTAGTCATTTGTAATGTTTGCTCTATGTCTTGGTGGGGTGGGGGGCCCTTCGGTCTGTAGTTTGGCACTGAATACAGCTACAGTCAGAATTCAGTAGTTCTGGGATTAAAGTGTGTTACTGACCAATCAGGCAGAGGTACGGTGTGACACCATAAAGGATATAAGTGAGTGAGGATCTTGATTGTGACGGTTCTCACCGCACTGAAAAACAGGTCGACTCTGCATTAAACCTGTGGATGATGTTTCCTTTACTGAGCACGATGAAGGTCTGCAGAAATAGACGGTTCACGGGTCCGAGGTTAGAAGGTAAGTCTGTTACTGGTGTGTTTATTTACTGGCTGATAGTTCAGTCAGGTGTTAAAACAGCAGTCCATCAACCTGGTGGTGAACTGATGATGTTTGAAATGTCTGTTCTAGTGAAGAGACAGACCTGCTGTGATTGGTAGAAGGGATCCAGCTCCTCCAATGGGGTGTTGAGAAGCTGGGGGGGTGTATCCCCAAAGATGAATGGGAGGGGCTTTCCAGCCTCCAGGAGAATTGCTGGTTTGCGCGGGTCTTTCTCTGCTACCTGTTAACCAGACAGACAGCCAATCAGAGAGGAGAATTAGGTCGAACATGATAAAGTTGTTGATTTCTCACATAAATTAAACATCTTAAATTTAAAGACATTTTTCATTAACACAGTAGTTATCCTAAAGTGCTTTTGCAGTGCTTCGACAGCAGGCATTGGCTGTTTTCTCAGCAGCAGGTCAAAGATACATACTGATCTGGGCTGCAGGTTACTTTGTTAGTGCTGTGTCAGGAATACTGGCTCAGGAGATAGTTTGCTCGGAGCAGTACGTCAGTTCAGTCGACAGCAGGTCACCAATTCTTTGCTGAGTTTGTTTGATCCAGGCATAAGGTTACTTTTTTCGGAGCCAGGTAAAAAACATTGACCTGTGATTGGACTCATAAGGGCCGCAGGGCACTTAGCAACAGGTCAAAGATAGAGACCTGCGCAGCGCTCTGGCGACTGCATTGGTTTCTTGTCATTGACAGCTGAAAGGTGATTACTATGTTGTGTACCTCTTTGGTCCTAGTTTGCTCCTTCTTAGTAAGTAAGTAAGTAAATTTTATTTATATAGCACCTTTCACAGACTGGGTCACAAAGTGCTTTACAAAGTCAAAGGATAAAAAGAGATAAAAAATAAACATAAAAAGTACTCACAAAATAAAATGAATAAACCCAATCAATTAAAAAACTGTCTAAATAAATGTGACTTCAGTTGTTTTTTAAAATCATCAATAGATTCGGCCATACGTAGAGTCAAGGGCAGGGCATTCCACAGTCTTGGAGCTACGACCTGAAAAGACAGGTCCCCCCGAGATTTAAAACGAGTTTTGGGGACCACCAAAAGAGGTTGGTTTGCAGACCGAAGAGTACGTTTGGGGGAGTATGGGGTCAGCAGATCAATAATGTACTGAGGCACCTGCCCATGTAGTGCTCTAAATGTCAGCACTAAGATTTTAAAATCGATTCTAGCTTTGACTGGTAACCAGTGGAGCGAATACAAGACTGGGGTGATATGAGCTGTTCTAGAGGTTCCTGTCAGGAGCCTCGCAGCTGCATTCTGGACCATCTGAAGACGATTTAAAGTGGACTTATTACAACAGGTAAAAAGAGAGTTGCAATAATCAATGCGTGAAGAAACAAAAGCATGAATAATCATTTCAAGATCTCCCTTAGATAAAATCTTCCTTAATTTAGATATATTTCTCAAATGAAAGAAGCAATTCCTGACTAACTGTCTTATATGACAGTCAAAGGACATTGCCTGGTCCAACACAACACCAAGGCTTCGAAGGCTCAACTGGACGGA